GTTTTAGAAACTTTACTTGTATTGAAATTTTATCCTAACAATAGACCAATAAGAGATTTTTTTTCTTATGTTACATATGTTGAAATAAACTTATTTTTATTACATTTCTACAACAATCTATGGAAGATACCAGTCACCAGCCAGTTGCGTATAAAGCGATTTATATTTAAAGACAGCAATTTGTACGCCAACAAGTATTTTAGCTATGGAAACATAACGTTGTGTTCTACACTACCAAGAATAAAATGTGGCGTATACATTGTATATATATTGTTGTATTGCATAGTCGATCAATCTCTATTCGTAAAAGAATAGCTCTGCGGTAAGTGCTTTACTGTTTGCAGATGCTCATAGTACTAATAAATCATGTGACTGCTACATTTGGTGTAAAAAGCTATAAGTATACGGTAAGAAGATACTATGTATTCTAGACGAGAAAACTTACCAAAGGATTCTTTTGTATCTGGTAGTTTATGTTCGTAACAACACTCCTGAATTTTTTTTTATGAACTACGCCCGCGAGTCTGTCTGCGTGGAGTTAAAAAAAAAACAAAAGCAAGTAGTGCGTTCTTCCAGCCTATCCTCTACATCTACGTTAAATTTCATCGAGATCCGTTCGACAGTTTAGGCTACAAACTCTCACAAACATCCATCCATTCCTCCTTCCATCTAAATGGCATCAATGCTAGACATTTTAATTGGGAGATCCAATAAACCTCTATTATAAGTTGTGTAATATACTAACTGGTGCTCGCGACTTCACCCGCATGAAATAAAAAAATAGTTAAACATGGCCTTTGTTACTTAATGTTAAAATAGCTTTTTTAAAGGTGCAAGAATTTCTGATATCGCTTCAGTGATTTTTGAGTTATTTCAATACATACAAAAATACAAATCTTTCCTATAGAAGTATAGATAATTTACAACTAAACATACCACCCTAATAGTATTAAATTAATTATTTTATTTATGTTTATTGGCTAAACATTTAGCGTTAGTTTATTAATGGGCCTCACAGCTGTTTGAGTGGTTTAGAATAGAACAGTTTAGTGCCAAAATCTATCGCTGTAAATCGGAAATGGTACACGGTTAGCTGTCTAGTTCAGCCTAAGGCTTTAAAAGTTGGCAATGTAAGCCCTCATTCGGTAATTACAATAGTCAATTAGTACCTTAATTTATTTTCAATTAAAAGTTTGATTTCGTAGCAGATGCGAACGACAATGCAAAGGGTCTTTCTCTTTGTAATTTTTGTAATTCCATTTCATTGAAATGGTAATTTGTTCCTAAAACAAATGAATAGGAATTATTTTTTTTTACCTTTTTACGAGTTAACACTTTATTCCAAAAGAGTAAGGTTGTCGGCAAGAAAATATGTTAATAAGATAAAAATATTGTAAGTATGTTTTGTACGCGTCACCGTGTATCTAATACATATTGCCGTTCTTCTCATTCCCTTAGAAGATATAGAGATAGCAAGTTCTTGTACGGATGTCTCGTTGCTGGAAACGCATGGAAAGGGTTGCGGACAGACGTAGGGAAAAGGTAAATTAAGTAACAAAATTTGTCAAGGGTGAGGTTTTCTTTTACATTCTTTCTCATATATATCTATACTAATCTTACTAATATTATAAATACCAAAGTTTAGATGGATAAATGGATGTTTGTTAGACTATGTAGCCTAAACGGCTGAATAGTGGTAGTGCCCGCTTTAACATCTTAGCACTAATGGGCCAGCACGCTCGGTAATACCACGACCACACAGAAGACAGGCGTGAAATGGAAGCAATTCCGTATTTCGTCTGATGAGTGTGGGTAGGCAACGCATCAGCAATTGCGGATGTCTATGGGCAGCGGCCGCTTCGCCATTTTGGCGGATTCTAGTAGCCGCTTGCTCGTTTGCCACCTTTTGTTATAAAAAAATGATTTTGATGAAATTTGGTACAAATGTAGGTCTGGAGGAACATAGGCTCTTTTGTTTTTTTTATTCCACGCGGACGTAGTACTGAATACTGAAGACTGATACTGAGGACTGAAGTTAGTATTATATAGAGGAAATATTTGGATTTTTGTATGTATTGAAATAACTCAAAAACTACTGGACTAATTACAAAAATTCTTGCATTATTAAAAAGCTACGTTATCAGTTAACATAGGCTGTAATCTATACTAGTACAATAAAGCGTAAACACACACTTCTTTGTTGCCTAAGATGTTAGCAATTACAGCATGTTTTTGAATAATTTTTCTTTTAAATAAAAAGCTCTACACTTGCGTCACGCTTTAGACTATATATTTTAACGCCATTAAAGTTAGGGGGTAAATATTTTGGATAAAAACCCTAATGTGGGAAAGAGATCATAAGTTGTTGCCAACATCAAGGAAGCAAGGTTGTCATCATGTCATGTCATTTTGACATTTGCTATTGATAATATGACAAATGTGAACAATAATATAAAATTTTCATAATTACATGAGGATGAAGTCGCACGGGAACTGATAGTTTTTATAAATTTTCAATTTCATTCAGGCGAAGTTGTACTTTGAAGATAAAACTTAATTCACGTTAACTCATCGTCGAAAATAGGTTTTTGATCGTTATTGTTCAATTCTAGTTTTAAATGATAGTAAACTATGATTGAAACACAATGAAAACGCTTCAAGTAAACTTTCACAATTCGGTAGTGAATTGGAACTGAGTTGGGAGCCAGCTGTGCATTTATATTTCAATCCAACAATGAGGTCTGAGTCTTTCAATTTAAATACAACGCTATTAATTGTATTAAATTGTCTTTAATAAATAGAATTTGAACGATACTAGGGATGAGTTTAAGGCTTAAACTTTTTTCTGTTCTACATACTACGTATTTAGCATTTTTATGTTAAAATTACTAACTTTTGCCCGCGACTCTGTCCCCGTAGAGTTAAAAAAAAAATAAAAGTGAGAAGCCTATGTCTTCTTCCAGACTATCCTCTACACCTATACCAAATTTCATCAAGATTCGTTCAGCCGTTTAGGCTACAAACTCTAACATCCATCCATCCATCCATCTAAACTTTCGCATTTACAATATTAGTATGATTATTCATTGGAAAGGATTTATTTCTTCCACATCTTGCTGAATTTGTTTTGATTAAGGTAACAATTAATTTATTTTTTCAAAGCGTTATTAATAAAGAAATTTCAGAGACATTTGGTAAGTATGCAATAATAACTAGTTCAAAATGAATAATAAATTTATTCATTTTGAACTAGTTATGCGAATGTTTAGATCGATGGATGTTTGTTAGCGTTTACCGCCTAAGCATCTGAATAGATCTCGTTGAAGTTTGGCTTAGATGTAGCATCGTCTGGAAGAAACATAGGATAACCTTTTGATTTTTAATTCCTTGCGGGCAAAAGCTAGCTCCTTATAAATATTTTGCAAGCTGTTGTAGATCTGTTTTGTTTCATGTTTTGTCTGTTGTAAATAATAAATGTGCTGGGATCGTGCCGCTGTTATGAAATCAGCAAGATGTTCTTTACATTGTTATTTTCATTTATCAAAAACTTGTTTGCAATGCGATACAAAGAATTGTTACATATCGGTATATATTTCTTATGATTTTCTTAATAATCTGAATAAATACTAGTTTAAGGGTCTGTCCCACTACTGTCTGATAAAGGTTCAGATAGCTTAAAAATGGCATTACTGTCAGATAAGGGAACAAAATCCGATATTCCCATCACATATTTAACACGTTGGATTTATATTAAATAATTTACAATTTGCTGGGACAGGCCCTAATTGTTTTTTTTTTTATTGCAATTACATTGGGTTGCTGAAGTTTCCATTCAAATTATTATTACCTACTGATTCAATAATGTTAGGTTGAACTAATTACGGTACGCAAATCGGAAACGGATTCGATCAATTTTTGGAACCAAAAACACTAAAGAATGGTTAAATGTAATTGGGAAACCGGCCTTTAGTCACTAGAATAAAAATTATTCATAGTTAATTATATATCTTCAATTTCAATCCAAATATTGATTTCGATAACATACGCGCATTTCTTCGTTGACAAATAAATGGTGCGGGTTGAACCGAAGTGGCTGCCTTTGAATAAAGGGCTTCCTACTTGAATAGGTTCAGGGGTCGATCCTTCCTATATACGATTAATTATCTATTCCATTTATATAATCTTGACAATTTCAGTCCATTGTGTTTGTTAACAAGATTTGATATGATTAGAGAGAAGTCATGTAATTTGGTCCGCAGCATACTTCAATATACTAACCACTATCTAATTACTTCAAAATAAATCTACGGTTTTACTTGATGAAAAAAACAGAAATTGGGTCAGCAATTTATCATGACAATAATTTTAATGAGTTTTCCATTTTCTAGTTAATTATAATTTTCCTGTGCATACTAGGAACCAATTACTCTTTTAATTGTCTGTGATATTTGATGCCTAATTGAACTTTAATTAGTACTGGAGAAAGGTGCCCAAGACTATGGTCTTAGTATTCAAGGCACGTCTTTTTGTAACAAAATTAGGTCAGACAGTCTCACGTGCCAGCCATAATTTTTTAATATATCGACTATTTCAAGGTGTACAATTTAATGTTTTTTTAATGAATATTTCACACCATCATAATTTAAAATAATAAATGCGAAAGTTTAGATGAATGTTTGTCATGTGTATAAATCGGCTTAACAGATTTCGGTGAAATTAGACACAAATGTAGAACATACTCTGAAAGAACTTATAGGCTACTAGTTTTTTTTTTTAATTCCGTGTCTGATGCATAGTTATAAAAGATAATTAACTACATGTATTATTTTACAAAATAAAACGGCAACATTTTAGAGACTGGTTTTTATTTACAAATTGTTATAAAGACTAGCTGTAGAAGTATGACGTATTGTTAAACTTGACATTCATTTATTTCCTTCTTCATGTCTTAAAGAAATTGTATCGATGATATAAATACCGAAAGAGGACCTTATGAAGTCATCAGATTATCAGAAGCCTTCACAATAGTAACAACTGTTAACTCAATATTCCGACAATGGTTGCTAAGGTAAAATATTTGTTTCACGGCATTTTATCATATAATTGTGAAAAAGCATTTGCATAATATGTAATTATTTTTCCAGTTTGTCGTCCTGTTCGCCCTTGCGGCTGTGTGTGCTGCGGATTACTCCCAGTTCTCCTACGGTGTAGCGGACCCCTACACCGGCGACTACAAGAGCCAGATCGAGACCCGCGCCGGAGACAGGGTCCGTGGCCAGTACTCCCTGCTCGATGCCGACGGCACACGCAGGACTGTCGACTACGCTGCCGGTGCTGAGGGCTTCAACGCTAACGTCAGGAAGGACCCCGCTCTCATCCCCGCCGCTCCCCTTGCTTACGCCGCATCTGCCTACCCATACGGATACGGATACGGATACCCTTACGGATACAACGCAGCTTACGGATACAACAATCTCGCTTACGGATACGGCGCCGCTGCATACGCTGGCCCCTACGCTTTCAGACGATTCTACTGAACGAACGGATTGTAATAAATTATGACTGTAGATAATGATGTTTAAATATAAATGATTTAAAACTTATATGATTTTATGTTATTTAATCCTTGATTTTTTCTTTAAATGAATGAAAAAACACATTATTTTAGAATTAGACATATTTACAAAGCTCTTTAACACGTAGGTAAGTGTATGGTTGTTGTCATTTCTTAATGACATTAAAACAGTTTTAAATGAAATAAGTACGAGTAACTAAGTCCTTGTCATTTCGAAGAAATACTAATATTACGTTATGGACCGAGAAGGTTAAGATGACAATTTATTAAGATACTTGAATAATTTTATTACAAAATCGCCTTAATAGAGATAAGTGATAAATAATATCACTAAAAGTAATTATTTTATTTGTTACATTTGTATCATTTAGATACATAAAATAAAATAAAATAAACGGCATAATTACTACGTTTTAACTTTTTGTATTTTCGACATTTCGCCGCAGATGGTCGAAGTATTTTAAAGTTTATGATAGTAATAACTACTAAACTTAAAAAAAAAACACTTTATTTATAACATTTTATCGAAATCTACAAATAGAAAAATAATTCATTAAGTGCCCAATTACAGATAGATTTTAATTTCGTTAATGGCATCCGATACGAATTTTGCGGTTATCCGTAATCCACATTGTGCGGTTGTTTTAACCTATGGTAGAATAATTACAATTGAATTTAATAATTTTCTAAAATTAATTAATATCCAGAGAAGTAGACATCAAATGCCATGTTAATAAGCTACTAGCGGTCGCCTGCGACTTTGTCCGCGCAATATTGAGATAAAACACTAGCCTATAATATGCCCCTCTATGTCAGCTACCCTTTAGTGAAAGTCCGGTCGAAATAGGCCCAACCATTTCAGATTGTTAAACAAAACCAAACATGCAATCAAAAAAGGTTTGCGTATGTGATTTTCGTTACATGGAATACCTAATATTACGATAAGAAATTTTGCATTTTATTGTCATAACAGTTCCACTTGTCCACAATATCAATTTTGAGTAGGTATATCATATTCTAATGGTGTAAGGATTTTTAAAACCGGCTAAGTAGATTCAACGTGAATCAATAAATACAAAATACAATTCTTTCTGCTTTATATTAGTATAAATAAGCAAACCATAGCGCAAACAATATTGAGCTCTACTACTTTTAGCTATAATGTCGTGATTCTAGTACCTCAGCCAAATGTCTGTTTTATTTTAATGACTCTAGACCAGGATTACATAATGAATTTACAAGCGTTTCATTTTATTAAACCTTGTGCATTATACTTATTTCAATGCAATTGGCTAGCAGTAACCATGAATTGCCATGGACGAGAGTTTAAAAAAAAATTCGTACCAATTCTAACTACGAATTCATTTTATATTGTCAGCCAAATACACCAAAAAAGTAGCGAAGAGGTATAATATAAAAGTATAACATAACATAAAAAGTTGTCTCTACATTTTTGGTAAATTATAATTAAATAATTCAAAGTAAATTTCGATCAATCGTTTTAATAAAGTTATTTCAACTTGACATTTAAATGTTATCAACTTGTAGGGTTCTGAAAGTATACTTCGATGATATAAATATCTGTTGAAAAGCTAATTTTATTATCAGTCTTCCACCAGCCTTCGTCTGCTAACTTGATACAATATCATAAAGATGATCGGAAAGGTAAATAATTTATTTTATATTGTCAAAGTAAGAACAGTAATAGGAACATTTATATCATAGTATCTGTTTTTTTTTTCCAGTTCGTTGTCATTTTCGCCCTTGCGGCTGTGTGTGCTGCGGATTACTCCCAGTTCTCTTACGGTGTAGCGGACCCCTACACCGGCGACTACAAGAGCCAAATCGAGAGCCGCGCCGGAGACAGGGTCCGTGGCCAGTACTCCCTGCTCGATGCTGACGGCACCCGTAGGACTGTCGACTACGCCGCCGGTGCTGAGGGCTTCAACGCTAACGTCAGGAAGGACCCCGCTCTCATCCCCGCCGCGCCCGCTTCCTACGCTGCCGCCGCTCCCGCCTACGGATACGGATACGGATATGGGTACCCTTACGGCTACTACAACAACGGTTATGGATACAACAACTTCGGTTACGGATACAACAACCTCGGCTACGGATACAATAACGCGGCTTACGGATACGGCGCCTACGGTTATGCTGCCCCTTACGCTTTCAGACGATTCTACTGAACAAACGGATTTGAATAGATTATAATTAACTTTAAATAATGCTGTTTGAATAAACTATAAAGTTTACATATTTCTTTTAATAAAAATTCCACTCCAGTCTACTACAAAATCGAATATCGATTACTCGAAGGTACAAATTTAACGTTACTGTAGTTAAACTTTCTCTGGTATCAGATTTAGTTTACAATAACGTGTAGTAATGCTAGGATATCATTTCCTCAAACTACATTTTAAGAAAAGTATTTAAGTATACTCGTTCTTTTCCCAATAATGTTATTGTTAATCTCTATCAAATTCTAAATATTGCACTCAAATATATTGCATGAACGAAATAAAACAAAACTCTGACTTGTTTCGCATTAGGTAACAGGAAATCTAAACAGAAGAATTTTTAACCTACTAGGAAATTGGGCAATTATTAAACACATAATTCGTTTTTAGGACGTGCATGTCCAGTACTACGGCATTTCGTTGTTCTCAAATATCCTTCTTAATCTTTAATATAACAATAGGAATGAAAATAGTGAAAGTACATTTAGAGCAGGTTCACAGCTTTTACTAAATTATCGCACAAAGGTTGTGCGATTATCGATTGTTTTGCAGCCAAGACAACAGTTTAGTTGCTCTACTAAAAATCGAATAGTGTGCGCACCTCCATATAAGCTCATAGGAATCATGGCGAGACGAAACAGTTGTGCGATAGTTTAGTTTCAGACACGCACGCTCTTACACTTCTGTTTTATTAAAAACATTCCTGACATTAAAGTTACTTTTTTAAATTAAAATACTGACGTTGTACAAAATAATGAAATGTCTTCCGCGCTACGAATGCCTTATTCTTTCAGGTATAGTTACTCGTATATTAGAAAATATCTTACAGTTTTCATTTGTTATGTTTTCTTAAAAAGCTTCTTCAATTCCTCTTCTTTCTTAACTTTAAGCTATTTTTTATCATGTAGTTTACATAAATTAATGTTAAATTTATATGAAAACTGCAAAAACAAGTCAAATAAATCTGTAACATGGTACTGAAGACAATGGATTTCATTTAAAAAAAATGTAGATTATTGTTGAATATTGATTCATCATAATATCGGTATATCCTTATAAAAATAAGTATCAGAAAAAAGCTTAACCTTTCATTTTGTTATTCATTAATTATTCTATAGGAAAACTTTCACAAAAAGGCAAACACAATGAAGTATGTTTGAGAGAGATTTAATAAAATACAAAAGATAATCAACAATATATGAAAGGGCGAGCCCTCGATCTATTCGTGTAGTAACCCCTTTAATCTCGAAGGAGCCACTTCGCGTCAACCCGTGCCCGTATATTTGTTTACGAACTACTCTTCGCGTACATTATACGCGGGCTCGGGATCTCGGAATCTAATAAAAGACTTCAACGTTCCTTTTATATGGTAAGTCATATTGTTTGCTTCTTTGTGGAATGTTTTATTGACGTATTATTGCTGTTTATGTGTTCTTATAATGTAATGGGAATTGGAATAAGGATTTAATCTTTCTATGTGAAAATAACAACGTCGGTGTCTCAATGTTTAGAGAAAAGTAATCAAAGATCAACTCATTGTGTGAATACTATTGATTAAGTATTACCAAAATATGTCCAAAATAATAATAATTCATTTAAGGATAAAAATGTATTTAATAAATCTGTATTTACACTAGGCCATAATTGTCAGTTCAGTAGAATCGTCTGAAAGCGTAAGGGGCACCATAACCATAGGCTCCATATCCGTAAGCTGCGTTGTTGTATCCATAAGCGAAGTTGTTGTATCCGTAAGGATATCCGTATCCGTATCCGTATGGGTAGGCGGTAGCGGCGATAGCAGCGGGGGCGGCAGGGATGAGGGCGGGGTCTTTCCTGACGTTAGCGTTGAAGCCCTCAGCACCGGCGGCATAGTCGACAGTTCTGCGGGTGCCGTCAGCATCGAGCAGGGAGTACTGGCCACGGACCCTGTCTCCGGCGCGGGTCTCGATCTGGCTCTTGTAGTCGCCGGTGTAAGGGTCCGCTACACCGTAAGAGAACTGGGAGTAATCCGCAGCACACACAGCCGCAAGGGCGAACAGGACGACGAACTGAAATACAAAATGTAATGTCAGAAAATTTCATAATCAACATATTTTTACTTACATAAATGCTTTCTTACTTTTCACATTATAATGCGAGAACATTTATCCAATTACGAATACGAGAAAATTTAACGTGTTTAATGATTTAATTAAAATGATTTACCTTAGCGACCATTTTGTTTGTGCAAGTGATTGTGATTGCCTGAGAGATTACAGACTGATGTCCATTGTGACAATTCGTACGATATTTATACTAAAATTAATTGAGAAATAATATTGATAAATCTGATAAATGCCAAGTTCGAAAGTCTTTAATAAAAATTTAAATACGGGTAAATCTTTTCCCATTTATAAATTGTATTGGTGATAAATTTTTTGACAAAAATATACTGCATTTACAGATGTAACTGTGGACAACTACGACACTTTTTTAAATAAAATTTGAACAAGAAAATTGAATGTTGTGTCGTTTTTCTTCGTATTTTCGTGACATATAGTTATTTACTTAGTGTACTAGCCCAAAATATCGTAGGTTTACATACTCAAAAGCTAATGTACTCATCACGAAGCATACTTAAGTTGGGTGAAGTGAAAACGTTTACGACGGAAAGTGTGCCCGAGACCCTTTCTCCATTATATCATTTCAGCAAATTCCAAGAATATGTAATGGAATAAACTCTACGCAACACTACATGCTCCTAAATACTTAATGTCGTTGACATGTGGGATGTAATTTTTCGACTTTAAGTCTAGTACTGATTACAAAACATTTAACAAAGATAATTTTCTTAACTATTACAAAATATGTTTAGCAATGGTTTGTTTTTTTTTGTAATGGATAAAATTATAGGATTCTTGTAATTATTTTAGTTTCTAGTATTTTATGGAGATAAAGTATGCAGTCAAAGTTCAGTTCCATTTTTGCATCTTGGCAATTTTTCATTGAACCAAAAATATTCTGATAGCAAAGCTGCCAAAGCTGCCAAAGCGTCTTCAAATCGAAAGCAAATAAATCGGATTGCTTGGTACCGTTTATAAAGTTTGAATAATCTATTTTTCGTTTAAGATTGTTTTGTTTATCGAAATGTTTCCTTAATAATTCAAGCTATCGACTTTGGAATTCATTGTATTGCTTTAATTTCTTTACGTTTAAAAATATAAGATGATAGTTTTTGCAGTCAGTGCCTTCTCCTAGTTTAAGATCAAATCATACTTCATACTAATATTATAAATATGAAAGTTTAGATGGGTGGATGATTGTTAGAGTTTGTAGCCTAAACTGCTGAACGGATCTCAATGAATTTGGCAAACATGTAGAGGATAGTCTGGAAGAACACCTAGGCTATTTGGTTTTGTTTTTTTTAATACCACGCAGAGGGAGTCGCGGGCGAAAGCTCTTGATTTATATTATAAACAGTTCATGTTCTATTATTAGTCAAACCAAAAGAACTTGCCCTGCTGACCGTACAGAACATTAAATAAAACCGCAGTGTTAACATGAAACAGAAGCATCAACTAATTAAATTACGATCTTGTAGGGTCCGTGTCCCAGCGGTCGAAGATTTGTCCGCTTTACTGAACTCTGCTCCCTTAATTCGATTTATAAGCGAGATAACTTTTCATGTAATATTGATGTTTTTGATGACTGTACACAGTTATAAAGAAAAATAATGAGGTTTTTCTTAAATGCGAAAGTTTAGATGGATGGATGTTTAGAGTTTGTGGTCTAAACGGCTGACCGGATTACGATAAGATTTGGTATATATGTAGAGGATAGTCTGTAAGAACACATAGGGTATTTGCATTTGTTTTTTTTTAATTCCGCGCCGACGGAGTCGCGAGCGAAATCTAGTAGGGAATATTTCTTGAAACTTCATTCTGAAAATCTTTGAATTAGAAAAAGATCTCACGACCTCTAGATAACTGATCAATCATAGAGATGATAGATCTATGTGCCCGTGATTTTAGTGGTTTTCATATTACGATATTAATCTTACTAATATTATAAATGCGAAAGTTTATATAGATGGATGTTTGTTACAGTTTGTAGCCTAAACGGATGAATGGATTTGCATGAAATTTGGCATACACGTAGAGGATAGTCTGGATGAACACGTAGGCTACTCAATTTCGGTCTTTTTAATTACACGCGGACGAAGTCGCGGGAGAAAGCTAGTGTTTTTATAGTTCAATATCGTTATATATTTTTAACAGCATCGATAAGTGCAGTGTACAGCGAGAGAATTTATTAACGTTATAAATCTTTCTGAAGTTAGTGATAAATTATATTTGTAACGCGTATAATGATTTAGTGTAACAAATGATTTATTGGAGTTAATTCTAACATAGTAGAGTTTCTAGACATTTCTTTCGTATTAAGTAGGTACTAGCTGTTCCCGTGCGACTTCATCCGCATGAAATCATGAAACTTTTTATTTTATTGTTTACATTTCTCAAATTACAAATGTCAAAATGATATTACATGATGACAACCTTGCTTCCTTAATGTTGGCGGTAACTTATGGCCTCTTTCACTCATTAGGTTTTTATCCAAAATATTTACCTCCTAAGTTTTGATGTCGTGAAATATATAGCCTAAAGCGTGACGTTAGTATAGGGCTTTAAAAAAAGTATTATTCAAAAATATGCTGTAATTGCTGACATCTTAGGCAACAAAGAAGTGTTTACGCTTTATTATAATAGTATAGATACATCTAGATAAAGAAGGTTATTTAAGAGTTGGCATTCAAGAAGTTTGTGGGAACAATTTTTACTCAAACAACGATATATCTTTTCCTTTAGCCTTGTAATCTTAATAAATCTACTGTTTGGAGTGGAGCCATTTTTGCATTAATACAATCATAATAAATACATTTTTGGTCAAAAAGACTATCTCAGATCGCTAACAACTTTCTACAAGGGCGTTTACAAGGATTACAATAGTCATTAAACGTTTTACTTGCCTACTTATTGTAGTGTTAAAATAAGTATTTTTAACAGTATTCAAGTTTTATAAATGTTTGTACAGCTGACTATATGTTTAGAAATGTTAAGTTGATTAAGTTGCCTAAGCGAAGTTAGTAAGTGTACATTAAGTTTGAAGCTGTTGGTGATTTCCTTTAATATCTTTGTTTAAGTTTCTTCAAAAGCGATTCAAAGTTTTAGCACCTTGTTAAAACTTATTTGGATAAAACAGTACTTTTCACAATACGCTATTTAGTATTTTGTAATCAAAAATACGACTTTTATGTAAGGATAATTAATTACAAGAAATGAGAAAGTTTGAATGGATTTTTGTTACTATGTAACTGTAGAATGGTTGAACAGATGCGAATGAAATGTAAAGCCGATACATTACACTCTGGAGTAATTTTACTTTAACTCAAGTTTAACCTAATTTAATGTACTTAAATATGGTTTCAAATGGATGGAAAGATGATTTTTTATTATCTATATCTATACTAATATTATAAAGAGATTTTGTATTTTTGTATGTATTGAACTAACTCAAAAACTACTGGGCCGATTTTAAAATTTTTTTCACCGTTAGAAAGATAATTTATCTGTGAGTAACATATGCTATAGTTTTGAATATAACGCGGGCGAGGTCGCTAGCAATAGCTAGTTTGTTAATAAAAAACACACTATAACAGTTCATATATAACTTTACAAATACATAAATAAATTGTTTTAATTTTAATTTTTTATAAGTCTGTATTTTAATTAGATATTCTTGGCATTACAAGGTTGATGTTAGTTATTACGTATCTCTAAAAAGGCTTAACGGATCTCGATTAAATTGGCTACTAATGTAGACCGTACTCTGGATGAATACATAGACTACTTACTGTTTTTTTTTAATTCCACGTGGACACAAACTGACGTGTATAAATGGAACTTCGTAAACGTGGGCGATATAACAGCAATGATATTCTATCGCATTCATCTATCAAATGAAGGCGAATTTTCATCAAACGAATTCATTAACGCCTACATTTCGTTCATAGCAACGTCAAAATGATCACATTTTATTTGATTGCCTACAATGGTACATGATTACAAAGTTAAATCGAATTCGACATTTTCTTTTGCTTTATTTGTAACAAAATTAATAAAACAAATATAAACATTAAATATAACTTAACATTTCTAGAAATTATTATATGTCTCATAGTTAACTCTTAAGAAAGTCCTTTGTGTCTAATTATTGAAGAATTTACAGTCGCTTTTATAGTCGTTAAGTGGTCATCATAGTTTATTTTTAGTATGTGAAAGCTACAGGGTTTTTTCAGTCTAACACTGAATGCGCCAATATAGTACAAGATAGATGAAAACCATTTCATCTACCCACAATTTAGGAATAGTGTTACTACTGGCGTCGACCTTTTCGTGTTACAACCAATTGATTCTTATAGTAAGTAGTGCATGTATTCCACAATTGAAACCTTACAGAAAGACACGCGAACTTATCCGAATTGTTAAGTTATCTATCCCTATCACGCAAAACATAACTAAAAATAATTATTCGTTAACGTAGAGTCGGTAAAACAGATAAACCTTTGTCTGCAATTTCGTCCGCGCGGAATTAAAAAAAAAATTGAAAGTAACTTATGTGTTATATCAAACTACGAGTATGTTGAGCTATGCTTAATATGATTTAAATTCGTAAAGTTGTTTTGAAGATATATATTAACATCCATCCATCCAAACTTTTGCATTTTTACTATTAAGTGTGAAGTATGATTAATAAATTTAAATTGCCGAGGTCCAAAATTACCCCAATATTTTTAGTGAATTTCTTATGAACGAGCTACATTAATTATTATTTATATACGTTGTCATAACCGTAGGTTTTCATAACCTTAAAACTCATATAAGAAAAGTTTAGCATTTCACTGTTTCTCAATGTCGGATGTTTAAGGGCCATATGTCGTGACTGTCTCTACTTAAACTACATTTAATATCTTGTATTTATAAAACAAAGGGACTTAAATAATACCACTAATAAACAATTCGTATCCACAAGTGCCAACATACGGGCACGTAAATATTCTTTTTTTTATTACTTGCCTCGTGTTACATTCTCTGTTTTGACACGTCCGCATTGAGTTCATAGCAAAGTAATTAAGCAAAGTTACACATACCGTTATTTGGTACTGACCAGTTTTTTTACTTAACATTTTGATATGTTGTATATAAGAATAGGATCATAAAGG